GTGGGGACCGCGCGCCCCCCCGCTCCGTGGCCATGGCAACGCGCCGCGCAGGAGCCGCCATGCTGGGGAGGCGAGAGTGTCGCCATGGCAACGGGCGGGCGCGGCCGCTCCCGCCGCACTCTATGGTTCCGGGCGGCGGCCCCTGGTCCTCCAGCGCCCTCCACGGTCCTCCCGACACCCTGAGGGTCCTCCCAGAGCTCCCCATGCTCCTCCCGACACCCCCCCGGTCCTCCCGATACCCTCAGGGTGCTCCCAACACCCCCGGCCCTCCCAACACCCGCAGTCCTCCCGTCAGGCGCACTGCCCTGCTGGAAGTCGGTGCGGCCGCAGCCGCGCACGAGCAGCGCGTCGCCCGTGAAGGCCATGGAGGCGTCGTCCAGCACGAGGGTGACGCAGCCGGGCGTGTGCCCGGGGCTGGCGCGCACCTCCAGCTCCTGCGGGGGGCCCCGGCGTCCGGGAGGGCCACACCCACCCCCCGGCACCCCCCGCACCCAAAGGGGCCCCGGCGTCCGGGGGGGTCTCCCTCTATGGGGCTCAGGCGTCCGGGTGTTGAAGGGGCCCCGGTGTCCGGGTGTCCCCAAAGGGGCCCCGGCGTCCGGGAGGGTCACAGCCCCCTCGGGTCCCCCCCGCACCCAAAGGGGCCCCGGTGTCCGGGTGTCTCCTGTTCCCAGAGGGGCCCCAGTGTCCAGGTGTCCCCAGAGGGGCCCTGGTGTCCGGGTGTCTCCCCACTAATGGGCCCCGGCGTCCGGGTGTCTCCTGTCCCCAGAGGGGCTCCGGTGTCCGGGTGTCCCCAAAGGGGCCCCGGCGTCCGGGTGTCTCCTATTCCCAAAGGGACCCAGGTGTCCGGGAGGGCCACACCCACCCCCCAGGACCCCTGGCACCCAAAGGGGCCCCGGCGTCCGGGTGTCGAAGGGGCCCCGGTGTCCGGGTGTTGAAGGGGCCCCGGTGTCCGGGTGTCTCCTATTCCCAAAGGGGCCCCGGCGTCCGGGAGGGTCACACCCCCTCGGGTCCCCCCCACACCCAAAGGGGCCCTGGTGTCCGGGTGTCCCCAAAGGGGCCCCGGTGTCCAGGTGTCTCCCCACTAATGGGCCCTGGTGTCCGGGTGTCTCCTGTCCCCAAAGGGGCCCCGGTGTCCGGGTGTCCCCAGAGGGGCCCCGGCGTCCGGGNTCAAAGGGGCCCCGGTGTCCGGGTGTCTCCTGTCCCCAAAGGGGCCCCGGTGTCCGGGTGTTGAAGGGGCCCCGGCGTCCGGGTGTCTCCTATTCCCAAAGGGGCCCCGGTGTCCGGGTGTCCCCAGAGGGGCCCCGGTGTCCGGCTGTTGCCGCACTCACGAAGGCGCCGAAGCGCAGGCGGTCGCCGTCGCGCAACAGGCGGTCGGCGCGGGCGCCGCTGGCGGCGGCGATGGCGGTGACGCTGCCGGGCAGGGCGGCGCGCAGGGCGCCTGTGCCCGTCACGTGGTCCGCGTGCACGTGGGTGTTCACTGCGGGGGGCGCCGGTTGTAGCGCACAGGCGGCACAAGCGCTCCCCATGCGCGGGAGGGGCCCCGGCGTCCGGGTGTCCCCCCATCCCAACAGGGGCCCCGGCGTCCGGGTGTCCCTAAAAGGGCCCAGGTGTACGGATATCCCGAAAGGGCCCAGGCGTCCGGGTGTCCTGGAAAGGGCCCCGGTGTCCGGGTGTCCTGGAAAGGGCCCAGGTGTCCGGGTGTCCCCGCACCCCTAAAAGGGCCCCGGCGTCCGGGTGTCCTGGAAGGGCCCAGGTGTCCGGGTGTCCCCGCACCCCTAAAAGGGCCCAGGTGTCCGGGTGTCCCCGCACTCCCAGAGGGGCCCCGGCGTCCGGGTGTCCTGGAAGGGCCCAGGCGTCCGGGTGTCCCAGAGGGGCCCCAGTGTCTCAGTGTCCCTAAAAGGGCCCCGGCGTCCGGGGGTTGCATGAGGGGCCCCGGCGTCCGAGTGTCCCTACAAGGGCCCCGGCGTCCGGGCGCTCCTGCACCCCCGGAGGGTCCCTGGTGTCCGGGTGTCCCCCCGCCCCGGCAGGGCCCGGTGCGCGGGTGGCCGGCGGGGCCCCGGCGTCCGGGCGCACCCAGGTAGCGGGGCCGCAGCCGCAGCTCCCGCAGGAGCCGCTCGTCCCGCGGCGCCGTCTCCAGCACGGGGTCGATGACGACGGCGTCGCCGGTGGCCGCGTCCGCCACGATGTACGTGAAGGTGCAGGAGCGGCCCTCGAAGAGCTGCCGCACGGGGGGCCCCGGCGTCCGGGAGGGCCCCGGCGTCCGGGAAAGGGGCCCCGGTGTCCGGGAAAGGGCCCCGGCGTCCAGGAAAAGGGGCCCTGGCGTCCGGGAAAAGGGGCCCCGGCGTCCGGGAAAGGGCCCCGGCGTCCGGGAAAAGGGGCCCCGGCGTCCGGGTG